ACTGAAGAAATTGTTAAACGCCTACACAGTTTCTTGTTCTATTGTTAAGTGGAGATAAAAATCGTAGCGAAAAAATTTCGTATGAATAGTAAGACAGAAAAAAAACGATAAAAATAATATTTTTAATAGTTCAACTTGTTTTTAATCCTCAAGATCTATTAACATCTCCTTCGTCTATCAGCGATAAAAATTGGCAGTCTCTGTAATAAAATGTATTGTTTTCTAATTTCAGGTCTGCTCCAAAAAAGTAGCCTTGTTTGCACAATCATCAATGTTAGATGAAATAGACAAGGAGCCACCTTGCAAAGTAGCAAGCATTTCTCTAGGTAGTATGACATACGAAAGTCTAATAACGAAGAAACATCATCCCATCACTGAATTCTTAAATCATCAGTACGGTTGATACAATAATTATTATAATGACAACAATANATTAATGTTGATACATCATAGACACATAAATTATGATCTTAAGTGTAACGTCACCGGTATCAATCGACAAAAGTTGGTGAGATTTTTTAAAAGTTAAAATTCTCCTTGCATCATGTCATTCTGATCATTTCGATGAATTATGTGCTAATTTTAAGATCTCGAAACATAATCATCATAAAAACTTGTCCAAATGGTTTTTTGGAAATCTACTGCAAGGTAAGAAAAAAAAAGCGAATCAGCAGTGGATGTGGCAGGCTGTTTGTTTACGTTAATCTCAATTACAATCTAATTCATCATCCTGTACTTACTTTTTGAGGTCCTAAACTATTTAAGATTAAACCTTCCAGTTTTAGTTTTGTTTTTGGACCATATCCATTTATTGGTCCATTTTTTGGTCAACAACTTTAAAACTTACGTATCTTTTATGAAAGATATATTAAAAACTTTTGAACAACATTGTTAAGGAACTTTTTTATGAATTTTTGCCTAAATTTAGTAGTATTTTTTAATCTCAAAAACAAATTTTTTGCTTTGTTTACTCATAGAAAGTAGTAGTGACAGCACTTATTGAATTATTCGAGTACAGAAAAAGAAAGAGTCGTCCTTACAACGAATTTCCATTGTCGTAGCAAGACAAGACTATTCTATTATATTACGTACCTTTCATGCGCGTATAAAGATTCAGAAACTCCCGAATAGTGGGTATATGTCAAAATCTATCAATAATCATAAGATAATAAAACGTACAATTCTTAGTCTTATCACTTCTAACATTTTGTATGTTAGAATAAATATGCTAGGAGTGAAGTATAAATCGTGTTTCTACTTTTTTGACTGTTCTACAGATGCAATGTAATTGATGCAATAAGATGGTTAAGGTGGAAAAATATAGTACAATAGTTTCTGCAACTATTTTCATAGTTTAAAAAATAAATACTACTTATATAGGTACTAAGTGCTCTACATATAATAGTTAGACTTGACTCAAATCCTGGGTTTAGTGCAGACTGCCTGTTATAGTTTTTAAAGTCAGAAATAAGCAACAAAAGGATTATGTATTATTCATCTTAAATTTATTTTCAATTTCTTTCATCGTACAAATTGTAACACTGCTTCTTGACCTGAAATGAAACGAGGCGCCGACACAGCGTTAGCAAATCTCGATCACGTTCGTCACCGTTGTCCCTCTCACCTCTTGGGTTTCTGCTCCTGAAAAAGGGGGATTGGCGCGGGAGTTCTCCCGTTCTACGGGAAGAACTATTAATTTACACACAACAAATACCTTTCACTATTTCTTTTATTAAACACTTAACACTAATACACAGTCTCCCTCTCTTCACAATACACGATACGATGCTTCACCTCGTCTTCTGGACGGCGCTGCAGCGACTTCGCCTCGCCCCCCGCGAGCCACGAGCGCTCGTCCGCCACGTCCTGCTGGTCTGGGACCAGGAGGGGCTCCTGCTTGTCCTCGACCCACACTACTACGCACACTCACACTCCGTCCCCAATCTCTCACACTGCTATACACTCTTTCGCTCTCTCTCTCTCTCTCTTGCTCAAGCAATGGCCGCCGCCACGTATCTCCTCTCGCAGTCACTCTCATACTTAGCAGCTGCTGTGACTCAGTAGTCGCGTTCGCACTTTCCTTGTCCTTTTCTGCTGGCGCTGCTGTGTCTCTGCATCTCAGCTGTTTGTCCGTTGGCGTCCTCGTCCCCTCCTCTCAGCGTGTATACAGCTCCCGAAAAACAAACAGTTCGGAGAATCGTCAAATTAATGCTCTTTGTATACACGTTGCATCAGCGAGAGCCTTTTGGAATATAGAGGCCATTTTGCCTCGTTACAAAATATTACTTACAACATTATGCATTTTATTAAATTTGAATACATATTTAAATGCAATTTTTGTAAAACCATTTAGAATTTATTTATTTATTGAAAAAAATAAAATACAAAATTATATGCACTGCACCATGTTAACAATATGTATATTAACAATATCAACACTACACCATTACGTGAAAATAATTTGAAAGCATTTAAAAATAGTTTTTTCCAATAAATGCTAAACCAATACAAACGTTGAAAAATTAACGTAAAATTCATTTTCAAATCCATACAAAATGTGTATAAAAATAGCTTTAAAAAAGATTTAAATTTGACAGGGAAAAAATTCAAAGGTATCTATAATGGACATAGTTTACACTGTAATTTTGAAATATTATTTACGTAATGAATCAGAACCTATTAGAAATTACAAAAATGCATATCACACCTGAATGATAACGTCTCACAAAATCGTTCTCAGATTTTTTACAACCAATTACAAAAGTATTGACAATAAATACAATAGTTAACTGATTTATGCATTAATAATACTTAGCGTACAAAAATAGTTGAAAAAAAAAAGAATAACAACAAAGTAATAGTGAATTTATCTTCAAAAATAAGTCATGTTAATAGGCCACATCATATTAATAACCGAAACAGATATACTTTATATGAAAATCAAGATCATCACCCATATAAAATCTTTCATCACAAAATGGGCATTGAAAAGGTAACTCATCCCTATGAATACGTTTGTGTTTTCTGAGAGATAATGCCGTTTCACAAAATTTTTCACATTTTCGACACGAATAAGACCTTTTTGCAGAGCGCTCGTCTTCTCCGACTGACATCTTCCTGAGAAGTTTCACTATAGCTGCTGGATTCTTCAGAGGAATTTTCGGACATTTTTCTGACTGATGTGTCTGGACGATCTCGAGGACTAGATGTAACTCTGTGGGTCGGATACAAGTTGTTCGGTTAGAGATTTGTTCGTAGATGCATACGTACTTCAAATATTTATCACATCTTATTTATTGGCAAAAGTCAATCCAAGTTCTAAATAATGGCTTAAAACAAAAACTCACCGTTCTGTGCTGGAGTATCTACTGGCACTGAATGACACGAGAGACGAACATACACAGTTGAATGCTTAAGGAGGTTCGGTAGTGTTAGCGGGGGGAAATCTCAGAGAGGCAAGGGGAGGGAGAGCGTCTGGCAACGTTGTGAATTTTTTTTTGGCTGCTGGCACGTCGTCTACTGTTGTTGTCGTCGTCTACTGATGACAGTGTACTTATTTCTTCGGTTGAATTTTTTATAATTAAATTTTTAATTACAAAAGAAGTTTTTACTATTTATTACATTTCAAAGCGCGCTCCAAAAGCAGCGTTGCCAAGTCGTCTGCTGCGAGCACTATTTTGCTGTTTTTTAATAGAAATTTGTGGTAGGGCTCTCTCAAACTTTGACAAAATATTATTTTGACAATATTCTTTCATTTAAAAAAAAAAAAAAGCAAGTTCATTTAGCCGTTTTTTTTTTATGTGAAATTTAAGTGATTTCTCCATAAGCCTACATGTTAAAATATTGTTTTTTCAGGTCAATATATCTTGAAAACGGTGTGGTTAAACCCTTCAAAAATTTAGCTGTAATTTGATACTATTATCCAAAATGACATATCAAAATTTCAAAAATTTTCATCATAAAAAATTATCACTACCGAACCTCCTTAAAATTATTTATGAAAAACTGAAGCATCGAAATTTACTCGAATCTTAGGTGCACAAATGAAATATTTATTAAAGTGTGGGGACGCAATATGCACAAGTACGTGAAATTTAAAACGTTTTATTTTTTCTACATGAATTATCAAGTGTAATGTTCTTTTAAATACACATAATCGAGTGAAAAATAAGGTGATCTGGTATACTTTTTGTAATAACACTGAGATACGTTTCTCGATATTGAAGTAGTACAATCAACATATGGTCAGACATTCACTGACAAGCGTCCCTTAAAAGCCTCATTCCACCGATAAATAATGACAATAGCCTTAAGTTCTAGACTTGACGAAAAAAGTGAAAAAATAGTAATAATCATGTCTTGCAGGATCGGCCATCGAAAAGCTCTGCGAGTGCGCGATCGAGGAAAATCTGACGGACCGCGAGGCAGTTGTACGAGCAGCCAAGTGCCTACTGGGCGCAGTGACGCGCGTCCTCCTCCTAGCAGATATCACAGTCGTCAAACAGTTACTCATGGCTAAGGACAAGGTGGCGCGCAGCCTCGGCCGGCTTGAAAGCGTGTCCAACTTTACCGAGTTTGTGAAGGCCTTCAGTCAGTTTGGCGCTGAGATGGTCGAGCTAGCGCACATGACGGGCGATCGACAGGTAAGGGTGGATGGTGTTAACTTTTTTTATGTATTTTGAGGGAAAAAAGGACCAATAGTTTATTTGGGCTTTTATTTAAATTGGTAGTAAGGTAACGACGGACGAGGGAGAGTGCCAGGCTTTGAATGATTAATTCGTTTTTGTGAAGTGGTGTCAATGTTCTAAAATACTTTTACTATCGTGTCAAAATACACTTACAGTGACATTGACAAATAGCGCCTCAATTTTCATGATACTTTTCATTAAATATGAAATATCAATTCATCTTTTTTTCATGCAGTATACATACATATATACATTTCAATATAATCAGTTTTTCGAAAGTAGTCAAGGCCTCCTGATAATCCAATCGTTAACCTCGTCGCCTTTTACGCTGAAACTTTGACCTAAATCTTGGTAAAGGATCACATTTTTGACGAGGATTAAAAAGGAATTGAATAAGTTTATCGAGTTTATCTATAATAATATGTATCTGTAGATGTAAATCAAAATAAGTTGATAAAATAGCTTTTCAGCCGAAAAATTTAGATTTTTTTTTTTTTTTCTATACAAGAAATACATGTATAGTTATGGGCTCTTGAAGTATTCAAATAGTCACTGAAACTTAGATTTTTATGTATTGAAATTGTATTAATTATACGAAATCGTGATCAGAATCAATCAATGCTTATTAATATCACGTACCTCTGAACCACTAAAAGTTTTAACTATTCCAATTAACCAAATTTTCCATAGTTAAAAGATTTTTTCTCTCTTTGCTCAATTGATCCTTCCGTACACTTATCTATATTACTAGGTACGTCAATTTTCGTAATTAAAAGTTATTGGATCAAAAAAAAAAAAAAAAAAAAAAGATGTAATCAGTTTCTGATAGTCTTTAGTACAGCTCTCATGACTTTTTTTTTTACTCCCAAGAGTCCACTTGCAACACTGATAAGACTGCATAAAAATCTGTAATTGCTTTTTTTAGTAACAGGAAATGGGATTATTTGTCGTAAGCTTCATTACAGCAAATTTTTTTTTTATTTTACTGCTTGTGCCTTACAAACACGTAAAAAAGCATTTTCGTGTAACATAATTTGTTAAAACATCCGTTAAAATATAATAACATAATTTGTGTAATTATCAATAAACTTGATACGGATGTAAATGTTGTTTCATCGAATTGATTTCAAATGAAACATGTGAAATAATTAAATTTTTTAACCAATCGACAGATCATCACCCATATAAAATCTTTCATCACAAAATGGGCATTGAAAAGGTAACTCATCCCTATGAATACGTTCGTGTTTTCTGAGAGATAATGCCGTTTCACAAAATTTTTCACATTTTCGACACGAATAAGACCTTTTTGCAGAGCGCTCGTCTTCTCCGATGACATCTTCCTGAGAAGTTTCACTATAGCTGCTGGATTCTTCAGAGGAATTTTCGGACATTTTTCTGACTGATGTGTCTGGACGATCTCGAGGACTAGATGTAACTCTGTGGGTCGGATACAAGTTGTTCGGTTAGAGATTTGTTCGTAGATGCATACGTACTTCAAATATTTATCACATCTTATTTATTGGCAAAAGTCAATCCAAGTTCTAAATAATGGCTTAAAACAAAAACTCACCGTTCTGTGCTGGAGTATCTACTGGCACTGAATGACACGAGAGACGAACATACACAGTTGAATGCTTAAGGAGGTTCGGTAGTGTTAGCGGGGGGAAATCTCAGAGAGGCAAGGGGAGGGAGAGCGTCTGGCAACGTTGTGAATTTTTTTTTGGCTGCTGGCACGTCGTCTACTGTTGTTGTCGTCGTCTACTGATGACAGTGTACTTATTTCTTCGGTTGAATTTTTTATAATTAAATTTTTAATTACAAAAGAAGTTTTTACTATTTATTACATTTCAAAGCGCGCTCCAAAAGCAGCGTTGCCAAGTCGTCTGCTGCGAGCACTATTTTGCTGTTTTTTAATAGAAATTTGTGGTAGGGCTCTCTCAAACTTTGACAAAATATTATTTTGACAATATTCTTTCATTTAAAAAAAAAAAAAAGCAAGTTCATTTAGCCGTTTTTTTTTTATGTGAAATTTAAGTGATTTCTCCATAAGCCTACATGTTAAAATATTGTTTTTTCAGGTCAATATATCTTGAAAACGGTGTGGTTAAACCCTTCAAAAATTTAGCTGTAATTTGATACTATTATCCAAAATGACATATCAAAATTTCAAAAATTTTCATCATAAAAAATTATCACTACCGAACCTCCTTAAAATTATTTATGAAAAACTGAAGCATCGAAATTTACTCGAATCTTAGGTGCACAAATGAAATATTTATTAAAGTGTGGGGACGCAATATGCACAAGTACGTGAAATTTAAAACGTTTTATTTTTTCTACATGAATTATCAAGTGTAATGTTCTTTTAAATACACATAATCGAGTGAAAAATAAGGTGATCTGGTATACTTTTTGTAATAACACTGAGATACGTTTCTCGATATTGAAGTAGTACAATCAACATATGGTCAGACATTCACTGACAAGCGTCCCTTAAAAGCCTCATTCCACCGATAAATAATGACAATAGCCTTAAGTTCTAGACTTGACGAAAAAAGTGAAAAAATAGTAATAATCATGTCTTGCAGGATCGGCCATCGAAAAGCTCTGCGAGTGCGCGATCGAGGAAAATCTGACGGACCGCGAGGCAGTTGTACGAGCAGCCAAGTGCCTACTGGGCGCAGTGACGCGCGTCCTCCTCCTAGCAGATATCACAGTCGTCAAACAGTTACTCATGGCTAAGGACAAGGTGGCGCGCAGCCTCGGCCGGCTTGAAAGCGTGTCCAACTTTACCGAGTTTGTGAAGGCCTTCAGTCAGTTTGGCGCTGAGATGGTCGAGCTAGCGCACATGACGGGCGATCGACAGGTAAGGGTGGATGGTGTTAACTTTTTTTATGTATTTTGAGGGAAAAAAGGACCAATAGTTTATTTGGGCTTTTATTTAAATTGGTAGTAAGGTAACGACGGACGAGGGAGAGTGCCAGGCTTTGAATGATTAATTCGTTTTTGTGAAGTGGTGTCAATGTTCTAAAATACTTTTACTATCGTGTCAAAATACACTTACAGTGACATTGACAAATAGCGCCTCAATTTTCATGATACTTTTCATTAAATATGAAATATCAATTCATCTTTTTTTCATGCAGTATACATACATATATACATTTCAATATAATCAGTTTTTCGAAAGTAGTCAAGGCCTCCTGATAATCCAATCGTTAACCTCGTCGCCTTTTACGCTGAAACTTTGACCTAAATCTTGGTAAAGGATCACATTTTTGACGAGGATTAAAAAGGAATTGAATAAGTTTATCGAGTTTATCTATAATAATATGTATCTGTAGATGTAAATCAAAATAAGTTGATAAAATAGCTTTTCAGCCGAAAAATTTAGATTTTTTTTTTTTTTTCTATACAAGAAATACATGTATAGTTATGGGCTCTTGAAGTATTCAAATAGTCACTGAAACTTAGATTTTTATGTATTGAAATTGTATTAATTATACGAAATCGTGATCAGAATCAATCAATGCTTATTAATATCACGTACCTCTGAACCACTAAAAGTTTTAACTATTCCAATTAACCAAATTTTCCATAGTTAAAAGATTTTTTCTCTCTTTGCTCAATTGATCCTTCCGTACACTTATCTATATTACTAGGTACGTCAATTTTCGTAATTAAAAGTTATTGGATCAAAAAAAAAAAAAAAAAAAAAGATGTAATCAGTTTCTGATAGTCTTTAGTACAGCTCTCATGACTTTTTTTTTTACTCCCAAGAGTCCACTTGCAACACTGATAAGACTGCATAAAAATCTGTAATTGCTTTTTTTAGTAACAGGAAATGGGATTATTTGTCGTAAGCTTCATTACAGCAAATTTTTTTTTTATTTTACTGCTTGTGCCTTACAAACACGTAAAAAAGCATTTTCGTGTAACATAATTTGTTAAAACATCCGTTAAAATATAATAACATAATTTGTGTAATTATCAATAAACTTGATACGGATGTAAATGTTGTTTCATCGAATTGATTTCAAATGAAACATGTGAAATAATTAAATTTTTTAACCAATCGACAGTCCACCCATAAAAATAGTAGTTTTCCTACGAGATTGAAAAGTCTTTGTTTGCGAACCGAGAGGTTTGCGGCCCGAGCCGAAGGCGAGGGTCGTAACGAGGTTCGTAAAGGAGACTTTTCGAACGAGTTCTGGAAAACTGCTTTTTCGCCCGAGGAAGTACCAGCCTCCCAAAACCACCCGAGTGCGGAAAAAATCCATTTCCCTATTTAAGTAAAAAAAAATAAAGAAAAAGAAGAAAAAAATGACAATGAGCTACCCCAATTTTCCGCACAGAATGACCTGAAAGACGAGAGGAGAAGAGCCCAAATGGCGGCGGCTCGTCAAGTGCTCGAGCGCAGCACGATGATGCTGCTTACGTCGAGCAAGGCCTGTCTGAGGCATCCCGAGTGTCCCTCGGCCAAGGAGAACCGAGATACTGTGTTCTGCCAAATGAGGCGGGCGATGGATCTCATCCATTACGTCGTCAAGGACGGGGTGCTCGACTGCAGCGAGTCAACCTACGCGAATTCGCAAGTGAGTTGCTCCGTCATTGCCACCCTGCACTGGGGGCGACATTATTCATTGCTATTGTTTACTTGGGATACCAAATTCGCTGCCCATCGAACCTGGTCACCCTCTAAGGTCCACTACGATGCGTTTGTCTCCGAGTCCTCCGTCTCGGGGGTTTTTAGAGCTGCTGGAGCATAACTTTATACTATCTGATAACCAAGCACTTTTTTTGAGAGTTACCGTATTTTGATACCATTTCAAGTATTAAAGCCCCAATCACACGCCTGCAGAAAAAAGCTGCGGATTACGTCAAAAATTGTTCCCCCACCCTATTTCAGTGCGATTCGTGCAGAAAAGGCTTATGGGACTGCGTTAAAGAAATTAAACGTATTTTGCATAAGTGTTGAACGTACAACGTTTACATGTTGCCGAAAAAAGGTTGTGTTACGCACTTGGCTTACAAATAAACGGTCAGTTCTTATTTTTTGAGAACTGAGCGTGTTTCTACATTTTTCAATCAGTTGTTTTCTACGATAGTATTCTACTCTAATCAGTTGCTTGAAAAAACTTGTAGTGTAAAGTGACTGCAAAAATAAAATAGTATTAAACAATGATTGATTAAATTGTCTAGCATAAGTTGTTAAACCAGTAAGTTGCTTCCCACTTGCGAATAAAATAGAAACTAATTCATATATTTTCCTTAAGTATTGACAATATTTCAAGTGCACATTGACAGTCCTTTTCAAGTCAAAGGTGAAAAAATATCATCACTGAGCATAGTCAAAAATTGTAAATACAAATTACATATTTTCTTGCTTGTATTTTATAATATTTTTTTACCTTTGACTTGAAAAGGACTGTGAATGTGCTGTCGAAACGTTGTCAACGCTAAAAGAGAGAAAAAACGAGTTCGAGCATCAATTCCCTTTAGTTCAATATTGTTTCCTTTACAATTCGTCGCTGTTCTTGGAATCTTTTCAATTCACTAATTCATACTCGTTACATTAAAAATTATCGAAAGAAGTTATGATTGCGTTTTCGAGTTATGACTTGCTTTCCACACGGAAAAACTTCACTCGTCAACCCATAATTTATCACACAGTCGATTTCTCTTTCCCCGTAAAATAAGGAAGGATATTTTTATTTTGACATGAAAAAAATAATTTAAATTTCTTACCCAACTAATCATCTGCAAATTAGTATGAGATACCAGCGATACTTCTCTTGTCAGCGATTCACTTGAAAAACCCAAAAAAGTATCTCTTCTTCGTCACACAGTCCAAAGTCCAAACAAACAAAGAGGACGATTCTCACAAAGCCGCAAACCAACCATGCCCATTCGTTCCCCATCCCCCCGAAACAAAACACAAAGTAATCCCCCACGCAATCAAGCCACCGCCACCCCAATCTCGAGTTTACCAGCGATTTAACATATGTTTGTCCCACACCTCCGACCCAGAGTCCACAGCAGGAGGACTGGGACAGCAGCACAGTGTTCGCCGCGTTGAAGCAGTTCGAGCGGCTGGTCGAGTCGACGCGGCTGACTCTGCTGAGCGCGGGCTGCCGCGAGACGCTCACCGCGGCGCTGGACGTCGTGGTCGAGCGCACCCAGGACTTCACCGACAGCGCCTACACGAGCCACGAGCACCGGGAGAACATACTGCTGCTCTGCGACCGCGCCAAGCTCGAGCTCAATACGCTGCTGCGCGTTGGCAACAGTATGGTGAGGGGACTTATTTTTTCTGTTTGCTTAGACATGCATGCTCTTGGAAAGTAGACAGTTAAAAAAAAAATGGCTTATGGGCATGGGGGTTTTTAAGTCTCTTTCGATGCTTTTTTTTTTTTTGCTTTTGACTTCGGGCTGAAGGAGTTTTCTTCTCCGCGAGGCTGGTAAGAGATAAGTTCCGACTCCAACGGCACGGAGGCAAAAAACTTTTATCCAGGGTGTTTCTATTTTAAAATCGATTGCTGCTTAAAAATTTTTTTCTTTCTTTTTTTTTTTCCGGCGTCAATTTTACTTTTTGTTGTACTACAGCTTTAAGTGTTTTTTTGAGAGAAACTCTTGACAGTGGAGGTATTTCAGTACTGTGATTCTTTTTTTTAAAAAGTAGTGTTACACCTTTATTTAATTTAGTGAATGAAATATACAACTCGTTCAGCGAATTTACTGCATAAATAATAGTGGCCAATTGATTGTCACTTTCATTGCAAGCCAATGAAACAGTATTTTTAAAGTCTTTCAAAGTCATTCGCAGTCGTACATTGTGACGAAAGGACTTACGAACCTCTTGGAAAAGACTTTGAAAGTAATAAAAAATTTGCTGAAATACTTCTAGAAATGTTCATGACTTTCAATAACTTTTTATAGTCTTTAAAAGACTTGAAAAATTTTCGAATGCAATGAAAATTGATTTAAAATCACACGAAGACTTGAAATCGTTATCTAGCGAATGCCCAGTCATATGAGGACATTCAAAATGTTTAAAGGCTTCATACTTATCTTGATATTTTTAAGACTTTTAAGTCTTCCAAAGTCTTTCAAGTTCTTTTATAATTTTTCACAAACTATGAAAACTTGGAATAGACGTCAAGAGTCTCGTTAAGAATTCAAAGTGTGCAGCCTTTCGATCCCAATCTATTTTCACCACAGACCTAATATTTGATTAATAAACAATATCTATCTTTTTCAAAACCCGGAATGACCCACTGCATGCTGTAACCTGTAACCAACCTCGCCATCAAAACCTGCACGCAACAAAAAACAAAAAACGAAAAAAAATCGCAAAAACCACAGTATCTGAATTATGGACAGAACTTCGAGGTGAGTTCAGTGTCGGGCTCACCGAGCTCGGAGCTCGACCAGGCTATACTCGCGGTGCTGCAAGCGACGCGCGATTTGCGCCAGCAGTTGTGCCAGACGACCATGGAGCAGGCGGGAGATCTTGGGCAGGTGACAAAGGCTGGCCAGGAGCTCGTCTCGACAATCAGGAATTTATCACTGGCCAGCGACATTGATCGGTTGCAGGAGAGCAGCGACCGGTTTCACGAGTACATTGACCACATACTTGAGGTAAGGCACTTGGCATAATGTATTATTATTATTATCTTTTTTTTTTTAATTTCAAAAGAATAAGATTGATTAATATAATCAGCAAGTGCTTTTAAAGCAATCGACTAAAATCAACAGCATAATTGCAAGCCAGGGTGGTTTAATTAGTAAGTCAGTGAAATTTGCGGTAGAACAAAGAAAAAACGTTATAATCGCGAAAATTAAACTACTACAAGCTATGCTTACTTTCCAGCATTTTACTGTTTAATTTTTATTGTCCTTTGTTATTACTTCCTTATGATTCACGTGGAGGTTTCATCAGGAGAGTTTTCTGCTTTTTACTGATGCAGTTATTATTAAAACCTGAATTTTTAAGTTTAACTTGTGGAAATCTTTGAAATACAGTGGAACGAAGTCTTTTTTTAGTCTTGAAATATATCATGTAACTCCCTATACCAAATAAAAGATTATACATTGATAAATAAATAAGTTTTACATTGATTTTTCAACGATACTCTTTGCAATAACTATTAAAAAATTTATCACATTCTAACAAAAGTTTAATGAATAATAACTAATTATAAATTAAATAAGCTAGTACTACTCTGGAAAATTTTTTTGATTCCAATTAATTAATCTACTTACTGGTGAGCTATGTTTTTGGAGCATCAAAATACTCAACATCCTTAATACCTACAGGTTTGTAAGCTTCTGAGACACGTGGCACTATCGGAATCCCTGCAAGTTTCAGCAAAGTTCACGGAAATCAACTTACGAATTTACGGGCCTCAAGTAGTTACAGCTGCCCACACGTTAGCGAGGCATCCAACTAGTAAAATCGCCAAGGAAAATCTCGAAGGTAGTACCTTTACAGCAATGATTTTCACTACACTGTCAACTATAAAGTAAAAATAAATAGTTCTTGGCTCAGTTATTAAGAAACAAGCTTTTTTTTTTCTTTGACAATTAGATACTGATTCAGAAGTATAATTCTAAAAAGTTCTCAAAATATTCATTTCTCGCTGCTATCACATGTTTATTGAACCCTAAACATTTTCCATCCGTGAATTTCTGGAAATTAAAAATAGTTAAAAGTCAGAGTGAACTAAATCTGGTAAATAGCAACGAAGTTTCAACAATTTAAAATCCCCCAATTATTTGATTGTCAACGTGCGTAGATGCATTGTCTTGGTGGCAAACAATTTTCTTACACCCTTCCTTCTAGAATATCTTTAGCCTTGTGTTAGCTAGGTATTTAAATTCATTCAGTTTGTCAACAACATACTGTACAATCTATCACTTAGTTGACAGATTTTTATGAACCAAAGTATTTGTCTCGTCGTTTTGACTTTCCATATTAAGCAACGAGTATATGATGATCTCTGCTAATTGCATATTCAATTTTTACCGTACCGTGCGTACTATTATTAAATAAAAAATTTAATAATGAAAAACAATAAATATCTCGATGAAATATTGTTGATAATCATACAAGTATTAGATAATCAGCAGTTTATTGTTAATTGAATGTTCCTTATGATAAACGACTGACTACTGCATAAAAATCAATATTGATTTTTTGTCAGCTTGAATAGTGCTAATATCTACATGTAGAGTTAAACGGACCTTTCTACTTGACTAAACCAACAAACATAAGGGTAATAAATTTTATGAATGGTTTTTGCTTAAATACCACTCAGATTTTCTACGAAAAATATGCTACAGAGATCAAGCTCCAAATCATGAGTCATCCAACATTTAGACATACTTGTTCAAAGTTGTTTAGCTCCAAACTGGATACTCGGTACTTTTGCAATATGTGTACTATACATCTATGAAATAAAACAGCCATTTTGATCTTAAGACTAAAGGGTCAACTACTAGGCTGAGAACTTTTTAGCTTGACCTCGTTTCTGCAAGAATTGTCTACTGTTTCAAATCAGTACGATAACCATTTGATGGAATGTTTTGGTTTGCAGTGTTCGCAGACATGTGGCAATGGTTAATGTCAGACGTGACGACTGTAGCAAAAGACGTTCTTGAGTTGAGCCAAAGCCGACCAGAGAAGCAAGTTTACATGTCCCTTCCACGACCAGGAGTACGTTGATAATGAAACAAATTAACAACCACCCAAAAAAGTAATAAAGCTAAAGCCTTGGTAATCCAATTACAGAAACATGGCACGACAAGCAAACCCCTAAAACCCGTAAGACTGGACAGCGAGGAGCAGGCTAAAATCGCGAAAGCCGGCCTCGAGATGAAACGCATAACATCGGAAATGGACGCGGAGACGGAAAAGTGGCAGGAGAACGGCAGTACCATGGAGGAGAATAACGATATCGTGAAACGAGCGAAAAACATGTCCTCCATGGCGTTCTCCATGTACCAGTTCACGAGGGGCGAGGGCGCTCTCAAAACCACTCAGGACCTGTTTACCCAAGCTGAGTATTTCGCCGAGGAGGCCAACAGATTGTACAAAGTTGTTAGACAATTCAGTTACCAGGTAAGCCAACTTCATCACCAATTTGCTCGTCTAACTCTAACTGGAATTGTTCTGAATCATCTTAAAATTGTTATCTATCTCCTGTCTATCTTTTTCTATTTACCTTTTCCATTGTTAAAGAATTTTTATACAAACATCTATAATTATTGGACTCTTGACTCCAAGTATACTCGTGCTACCAAAGTACCTTACTCTTGAGTTGACACTTGTTGGAATACACTACTTTTAGTTTTTATTTAAGTTTTCCTTTACTATAACATTTTTTTTTGTAATTTACTTGCGCACAAGCTACATCCAACTCTTTTTTTTCAACTTGTTTCATCTATCTTCCTTCTGTCTCTTTATTTTTCTCTTAGATTTGCTTTAAGATATAAATTTACATCTCGTAAGATAGAACACTTGTAATAGCACGTGGTTACATAATAGCTTCTGTATAAAGCACTTGGTAATTAATCAAACATATGTATAAATAACACACAAACTGCCAACATGCATACATCGAATATTTTTGGATGAAGCTCATGCGCAGTGGACTTAGACCATTAGACACGTTGGTTATTGTATTAACACACGTTTGTTGGTCCTTACGTAAACCATCATAGTTAGGCTGTTGACATTTATCTACGTACACAAATAGATATACTATCAAAATTGTTGGATTAAAAAAGAATAATTAATAACAACACTACATCTATATCTTTCATGTAATAACTGTATCTTCTTGTAAGACATAAATGCTAACCTGTAAATTCTGTATTATAACGCCTTTTCGATTGACCCTCGCTCTTGAATGCCTCCATCCAGGTAACTTTATCTGTCTTTACTTTAGACCCGTTGGTTGTTTATCTACTTTAATTTTATTTTTTTTAGTGTCATTTACGCCTGTACGAATATTCTCATTACTCTTTCGTTTATTATCATCGTCATCATTCAGCCAATAACTAATACATACGAAACATCTGTTATTCTTAATGATATGTTTTTATTTCAATGTTTTAATTTTACGAATAAATTATACGGTAAAATTTTATCAAAATTTAAAGTAAAAATTAAATGTTGATACTGAAGAAAACAATTCTATTAATCTGAGTAACCAAAAGGGCGCAATCTCGAAAACGAATTCGTGATCTTAATTTTCGAGGATTTTTATTATTTTCCAAAATAGTTTATGTTAATGCTATTTAATATATTAACGTACGATTTTTTTTTCATAAATATACACATATTTTTTTCTGTGTTCGATAGTAAGGTGTGTTTTAGATGCTACGGGAATGCTTCCGTCTGTGGACGACGTCTATGTGCATTGTGGTTCCCCTCTTTCCACTCTATGGGGCATGACTATGATATGTCCCCAAGTTTTTGCTAGCTTCTGAAAAAAAAGCAAAATACACCAATTGCCTTGCTGCTTTCTTTACGAGCCTCACATTTAAAAACAATGCATTATTGCTGATTTATGTGTACATATTTGTAATATTTCTTCGAAATGAAAAATATGTTTCTGCACGTCTGCGTAAATAAAGCACACCCAAACCTTGAGGTTACTGAATGTCTATCATGTATTTCACGTTATGTTTCACGAAGCTGGCAAAAGCAATAAGGTCTGTACTAAAATCACTTTTCACTCACATGATCACTCTTTTAACTAACTTTTATCTATCTTAATTAATTACTTCTGTTTAATTTAACTTTTATTCTGCATTGTGATTGAGTAAGGACATTTAGATCAGATACATACTTAAATATTCAACTCGTGTGTGTGCAAACGACTACTCACCAGATATTGTGATTTTGATATCAGGTTGAAAATTATTGAAATTAATTTATTACTGGTATTACAAAGGCGCTTGCGTACACACATTTAGTTTACTACACAGTTAATTAGATTACCGTAGCGTTTATTATAAAACTTAAAGTACAATTAAAATATATTTCAAGAGATCGTTAAATAAACGCATTTACCCCAATCCTGTGATTAACAAGACAGTGCAAAGTTGAAAATTACTTATCTATTTCAATATTACTATTAACTATTCGAAAATAATGTCAAATATTCAAACCTGGGGTACGATGCACTTGTTTGACGTGCAAGCCAACCCCATAACCCAATTACCACGTGTATTCATGTGGGTCACAGGTACCGGGTGGGCCTCACAAGAAAGAACTTCTGGAGAATCTCGACCGCGTGCCAACCTACGTCCAGCAGCTGCAGTTCACAGTTAAGAACCCGACGGTCGGTAAAGCTGCGACTTTCGTTAAGGTCGACAATGTCATACAAGAAACGAAAAACCTCATGAACGTCATATCGAAGGTAGTCACGACGTGCTTCGTCTGCGCCACAAAGGTGAGTTTTATGTGCAAATTAGCTGCAGCGCTTGTTAATGCAAACAGGGTGCTAATGTCAATGGTTGTAGAAGTAGAAATATTCATGGTGGACGTTTATTCGATGTTGTATACTTGTGTAGTATGTGTCTGTTTTTTCAGTAATGGTACGACCTTAATGACAATGACGTGGACTAAGAAACATGTATGTGTATGTGAACGGACATTGATTAATCAAAAATTATCGATGTTAAAAGTTGAATTCGATAACTGATTGAGACGTTTAGACATTTGACATTATTTTATGAGGGTAGATAAGACAAATCTTGACTTTAATTGACTCAAAACTAAAGGGAGTTCATAAACCATGTGTATTACTTGATACTTGACATAAAATATCGTACGTACTATACGTGACATGAATAGTTATGGGTATTGTACAACAAGTGTTATAAAAATAAGAATTATCTTTGTTAAATGTCATAATGATAATGCTAATTTTATACATAATATTATGCTGATGTGTCTTATTCTTATATTGCATAGACCGTGTATATTCTATACAGCACAATATCTGCACACACGTGGTATACTATCGTTCTTTATTTTTATGGTTTCCACTGTATCCCATGCACAACCATCACCACCACAACCAACAACAACACCATAAATCTATCAGCACAACTTGAGCATGCCGCAATTCGTGGATGTGAATCCTGCTTCGGTGCCCGGTCTGGGGGAAGAGGATTGCCTGTACCCGATTAGTCCCCAAATGTTGCCCAATGCAAAACCCTACGTGCAGCCGCATCCTCTTACACTGGCACAATTGTACACAATCGTGAAACAACCGGCCGCGCCATCACCATCACCACCACCACAACCACCAAGTCCGTCGATGCTCCACGATTATCTGGACAACCTGAGCCGTGATCAGACAAAGACACCCATTATCCAGCACTACTACTTTGATCATTTACCGCCATCAGCTCGCGAATCCTCCCAGCTACTATTTCCAGCCACAACCACGACCAGGAATATGGCAGACTCAAACATGGCAACAGCAATCGCAGCATCCGCGCCACCCGAGTATGCCAGCCTACGTGCACAAGACCAGTCTCAGATACGACGGAGCTCATACCGGCTACGGCAGTCGAGCTTACCGAGATGACAATTGGTCCTGAGCTGTGCCGGTCGAAAATTGGATGATCAACATATGCTGCAACTACTTCGTCTTCTCCTCTATTACAATCACTGCACGCACTTGTATCTCTTCTGTCACTTCTTCTTCTACTACTATTCGTTGTTTTCCACAGGTTCGACTCTCCTCCTGTACATTGTTTCGCTTTTCTCCTAATCAGATTTTTTTGTTTAGTTTAACCCGTCACTGTTGACTCTTGGCTTCTAAAACCACTAATGGCAATCCTTTTTGTGAACCGCAATTTTTGAAACAGGTGGAACAAGAACTTTTTTTAAATGTTTCTCCTGCAGCTTCTTTTTTGGAATAGCGAATACTGTTTTCGATAATCTTAGATGTTGTGGCTCGATTTTTTCGCACATATTTTCATGTGTTGACATGTGTGCGTGTATTGTGGCTAGTACATGTTTGTTGGCTTTGACTAATAAGAATATAGTGTGTATTGGCGATGTATAATACTAGTTTTTTTTTTTTTTTTTTTCCATAACATTTATCAATTAACATTTCAGCAACCACAATCAACGTTACTATCGTAAAGGTTTGTCTCGACAGTATCAAGTATGTGTATGTTGTCGTATACGTATGTATTGATATTGTCGAGAAAATTGGATAAAATTTTATGGTCAGGTAGTGTATAATAATTAATAGAAAGCAAACGGTGATTTTTGTTTTCTTGATTGACAACTCTTTTGTTAACCGTAATTGAAAACAAACCCATATCAGACTTCAAATTTGTTTTAGCATGAAACTCTGACTCTTTTGTATCATCTTTGTAGATAAAAAACTCCGTATTACAATTTCTATACTACCTACCGTGATAACAAAAATCGTAAAATTTCGTAAATCAAAGTTTTTTTTAGAAAGATTTTTTGTACTCAATATTGGACATTATACAATGTAATATACGTAAAGTGTGAGTAAACGTAAGCAGTAAAAAACACAGCTAAAAAGTAGCACCTGTATCAATTGGTCTCCTTTGTATACACAATTCAATAATTAAAAACTCTCCGCTCGACCCTAAATGGCCTCTGATTAGATGACAGTGCGTAAAATGCTCATTTCACGCACAACGTACACGAAACAACTACTTTCAACATGGGAGTTACGTGTTGGACAAATTAAAGTATTAAAAGTTGAAATTTGTATCATTTGCCATTTAGGGTCGATTACAAGCGAGTACTACCAAACCACTTCAGTATCAGTGCTAAAAATCAACCGCACTTGAAATAAAAAAAAAAACTACGTACAACCGAGCAATTCCCCACGGGAGTAATGTACCTGAAATAACACCGGCACTCACGGTGCCGTATTTTGTTTGCAGTACAACCTGGATTTCCGAGGTCTGTCGGTGCGCGGGGCCGGCGGCTCGCCGTACCGGGGCGGAGACGGCGCGGGTGCCGACGGCGACGGAAGCGGGGCAGGCGGCGACGGCAGCAAGGTGGGCTCCGCCCCAGGCAGCGACCCGTCCGTCTGACAGTTTGGGATGGCCCGACGGGCCAAGGGGGACGCTCGCCGCACGCGGGTTTCCTTTTTGCTTTTCTAGGCTCCCCGTCGCGCCGTTTTTCCTGCTCCGCCCGCCTCGAGGACAGCGTCCTGTCGCCACTACTCCTCCTCGTCGCGTATCGAGGGTCGATCGGTCGCCGACGACAGGCGGGGCACGAGACGATGACTCAGGGATAGCCTTACACGGAAACCTGGGTGCGGCAGCCGGGCGGTCAGGGACGTACTTTGTGGCAAAGGCGAAGCGTCTCGGGATGGCGCGCAGTATCTGGCCCCCGACTAGTCCGACGAGATATTGTACCCCCCTCCGCTGCGTAAAGTCGACGGTCTTGGCCACATCGAAGACTCTATAGGCTTGACGACAAGGGCGACCGTGAGCTCCCTGAATTTTGTAAATAGTAGTGTCACGTATTTTTGTAAATAATACACGTACTTAACTACGATTTGCGACGGCGTATTTGCTGACGATCAGGGGACTTCAGTCGAGGTTTGTCGCGCGATCTGAGGCTGACAGTACGCCGAATTCAAGTTGGATTTCCAACTGGCCAACATAAGTTTCAACTACTGAAAATTGTATGAAACTATACATGTTAACGAAGCTCCTTTCGGCCTACGGAATATGAAGAAGACGATCGTCAGCAAAAAAATTGAAAAAAAAAGATCGAGCTTTTCTTATGCGATAAAGTATATAAGTATATTAGATAGGCGTCGATGGGGATGTTTTCCTGATACTAAATATAGGTAAGTGTATGTGTGCACATTAAAAGAGCCGATATGGGGATTGCAACGCCTGAAAGATGAGAATTGTGAATACTTTGTGTACAGTATATGCATTAAAGATGCGAGAATAAAGAAATACGGAACTGATTAATTTTTAACGAGTGATGATGTAAATGTGACGGTGCGCAAGGCTTGAGGCACGATGTATGAGAGATATAACCCAAAGTTCGAGATTCGCGATGATTAGACGCTTTTAGAGGATAAATCGCGTGTAAATTTTTGTTAACCATCATTGTTGCAAAAGAATGTGAGACGAATCGTGTTAATAATAATTAAAAATAATGATAAATAAGTGGTACAATCTTTCATCCTTTTTTTTTTTTTTTTTTGTTCATTTTAATGACGAAGATACGTCCTCCAGTTAATATGTGTCTCGTATACGCTCGAAATTATTCGATTTCGTGTCACGTATTCGTAATTTTAATAAATAACCTTGTACGTTGTGATACTCGGTAATTGACTTACAACCAACAATAACACCAAAAAAGTGAAATTACAAAAAATCGTAGGATCATCCCTTGAGCGTACTTGATGAATAAACAAAAAAATAACAGACGATATGGTAGCACTGAAAAAGTACCAAGTACAGGAATTTCGAAAAACTCACTGAGTAACTGGTCGTGTTCGAGCTGTCCTGAAAAGTTCCTAGGTACGTTTTTTCAAAGTGACATCTTTGTACGTGCGACGATTTCATTCACTCGCTAATTTTATTCTAGAAGGGCACTTGTGTATACGGCTTTTATGCGACATTTTTGCTGTAAAAAATCTGTAAGAAACGCTTTTTTGCTCATTTTTCTTTCAGAAGCGTGTGTAAAATAAATTCATCATGTAGTTAAAAAATGGATGAACTGCAAAGAAAGGGCACAAAAAATTATGTATGTACATAAAAAAATATATATGTGTGTTAAAGTTAATCGTTGCCAATTTTACTTTCGACAATAGTGGATATTATTTTGTTCTTGTATATCATAAATTATTTTCTCGATAAATTTGGTGCTTCATACATACCACGCCTTATTATTGTAATTGTTAAAGCACTTTGTTTTAGTTGAACTACCATCTCTTGATGAGAAAAATATTTTAATTCTAAGAAATAAGAAAAAAGTTATTTAGTATGTTAGATTACGAAAAGTACCTAGTGTTGAACGCTGTAAAATACAAGCTGTTATTGATATTACCGGTCTAGATTTTGTTTCGGGCGAGATGTTTTGTTGTAAAGTAACAAAAAACACGTTACTAATCGATTGAATAATATAATTAACATACCTTAAATTTCAAAAAGGCATAATCAAAACTTCCTTAATATTAAGAATATAAAGAAGAAAATAAAAAATAACAAAACAATACTTAAATATATAAATATATA